TAGCCATTTTGTAGAGCTTGCTTTGCCCTGTCGAATGATTGCGTAAGCCACATAGTTGAAGGAAGATACAAAAAAGACAGCTGTAATAAAAACGTTAAAAAAATTGTGGAAGGCCCTATCAAATAAGCAGAAACATGAGAAATTAACAAAGTTTTCGCGCTGTAGCAACGCCAAGGCTGCGCAAGAAAATTTTTCCCTTTGATGTGATTTTTTGAAAAGAAAACAAGAAAGGAGAGGTATGGGAGGATATGGATTGGGGAAATCATTTAAAAAGTGTTTCTTACTTTGACTTCAATGTGGGCCAAAGGTGGCCCGTGGGAGTTTTACAAAAATCTTCTTTTCACTTTGTAGCTTTCTACATTGCAAGGGTGGACAACGACTACTAGAAAAAGGTAGTTGTAAATATGGATTAGCAGCTGAGTGGCTTATTAAAAAATGTTAGAATGTCCTTAACCTCTTGGCGGCAGTTTGAGCCACTATTGGCCCAGGGAACTTTTACAAACATTTTTTTGTTCTTAACCTTTCCCGAAATTTTTATGTAAGTGTTTCAAATTACAGGTCCACTTATACTTCTATTGTATCAAGGATAAGATCCGTGTTAGTGAAGAATTTGGCTCCAGGTACATTAACCAATCAGATTTTGGTGCTGAAATGTTGTGCAAAATGTCGTCAGAGGCCTTATAAATCTCACATTTTGAGGCAGAATTACTTAGCACAATTGTTGTAAGATGAGTAATAAAAAGTTATACAATGACGATGGTACAAAAAACTTCAAGAACTACCAAAAACTTCAAAATTATTATGACAATATAAACGGTGGGTCTACCAAACGCCCCTTTTCCCTTTTTGCAAGATGGATCAAATTCGAAACCGCAAAAAGCATTCTCCCTCCCTCTTCCACTCTCTTCTCACAACTGCATTTAGTGGACGTACAGTTATTATGTATTGTATGACATTTTAAAACTAGATAATTCTCTCCCCTCATCCGTACGTTCAGCTATAATAATTGCCTGTGTCCACCAGCGGTCACTCAAGCGCATCGATTTCATGGACAAGTTTTTCGCGAGAAGCGGTGAAATTTTCCGCTTTCATGCTTTTGTTCGAAAGTAGACGAACCTTTTTTGTCGGCTTATCGTAGATCTCCTGGTGATGGTCAGCTTTTTTCGACGGACGATATTCGTCGATTAGACGTCCATGTGCTGAAGTGTCTCGACGTTCTTTTGTTTTTAGGCGTTTACGAATCGAATTACGAATCTCGCGCATTGCCTGAATCAACATGGAATTTGGTGGGTTTGAAGGACGGTAGGAGAAGACAAAAAAATGCATAGCCTGACAGACAATACGGTAAAAATAGTAAAATTGCGGTGAAGACAACACTTGCGCGTAACAATAGCCATGCTTGCGAATGCCGACAATTTGCTTGCGACTTGCGCGTGAAAAAAGAGTAAAGTGGAATAGACATCATTTGTTGCTTTCACAGTTGCCCGTATGCTAGCGCA